CCCCCCCATCCCTGGACGTTACACATATATATATATATAAAGGAAAGCGTGTAATGGGTGCTGCTGCTTCTTGTTATTTTCTCGGCGCGTCCGTACGTGGATTTGCACAGATATACGGGAGATGGATGATGATCGAGGGGGCGCGACCATCACGGGTATAGGAAGCTGCGGTCTCGTCGTCGATGGAGAGTTGCGCCCATAGGCGACCGTCGGACCGTGACGATGGAGCTGATGGGCGCAATAAAAGCGTCATCGGGACGAGAACGAGCGATATACGCAGGGCGGTATCTATCAATGCTTCCCTCTTACCCCCCCCCCTCTCTCTCTCGTGGAATACCGGAACAATGGCGGATCTCGAGGCGAGAATCATACACGCGCGCCGCGCTATTGTTGCTGCACGAAGGGGAGGAGCACTGATTCCAGTTCTCCCCCCTCTATGTCCATGACATACATGTATGTTTATGGTTGCACTCTCCCTCTTGGTTTTTTTTTCTGGCTATCTGTGTGTGTGTGTGAATAAATCCGGTCTCGCGTTGCCCGATCACGTACCTATATATATATATGTACGCCTGCGACCAACCGAGCAACCGATACATGCGGTTGTACTTTCTCCCCCACGCGCGGTCAAAGGTCCCGGTAGCTTGACTCGATCCAGGGGGGGACCGCAAAAATTAGCCGATCTCTTATTCTTGCTGGCGCGCGTCATGGCCTTTCGTACGCGCTTTCCTATGTTGTGTATATTTATACGGGGGTCCCACCGTGTGTGATTACACTCTACGCCGATCCGCGTTAATTTACCTCGTGTGTCACGTATACACGACAGTGCCACGAATCGGTATAACTTTCGCTCAAATTGTATCTGCATTTGTCTTGGGAGGAGAGTCGCATACATATAGGGCTCGACAATCTTTTCGAAAGGGTGTGTAGAGTAGTGTATTGTTACTTTGGGGTTTTATGCGGAGGAGGTCGAGAGCTCGCCGATCGCTGCCAAGTATATTGCACATCCATATACTTTATGATTCCAAAATGCCGGAGGGGGTCGTTAAGGAGCCCGAGGTCGCGTTTCGAACAACTGCAAAAGGAGGGGGAGGGAAAAAGGGTTGAGGGTTGGATTATTGGGCGCGTAGGCGATGGAAAGGAACAAAAAAAGAGGAGGCAAAGTAACAGACGATTCTCAAATACATATATATGTATATAATCATACGATACTTTTATTTTCGTTCGATATTTTCGTTCGCTCGATGGCAAACCCATACACTGCACGCTTCGACTCAATATTGTGCTACCTCGACGATGTTTTTTATACAATAACGCATAATTTGCAATCTACATCTTACGCCATACACAGTTTGTAAATTATATATGGTATATACATACAGGTGTGTACATGTCACGTGAACAAGTCAACGGCGCACAACTTTCTGTTTTTTTTTTTTTTTTTTTTTTTTAGAAAGAAAAATCGAAACGAACGCGTGTATAATAATAATATATTTACAAATTTGTTCTTCTTTTATTTGCTTCTAGTTCATCATTTTGTTTGTCCTAACTTGTCTATTATAATAATATTTACATCGTGGCAATACGCGTATGTTTATAGGACGACATGACCATTAATGATCGGTAAAACTTGTCTCGTCATCCCCACAACAAAAATCGGAAAGATTTTGCACTCGCGTCGGTAATTGTCCCTCGACACCGTTCAAACTAAAGCGTACGCGCACAAATCACCGTCTCGTAAAATTTATGTGCACAAATATCATACAAATTATTATGTTTCAATTCACGTCAGCAGCGTATTGGTTTCGTTCGATCATCGCTCGATTCACCGAGTCGACGCACGGAAACGCGGCACTTTTGTGATAACTTTCATCCGCACTACACCTGCACACCTGCGATGGTCGCGCTCACCACTTTGAGTCGCGCAATCATTAAACGTCCCACAAATTGTCGTATAGTTATGCGACACGCACACACTGACCCCGTACGTTTCACAATTTTGGCAAAGACACGAGCTCGTCGCTGGAAGACGCGTCAATCGGGCACTAATTTACCACGAGCCGCGCACCACGGCAGTGCAACAACTGCCGAATAAACACTCACAGCCGGACGACAGTTAGAGTCTTGGCACGGCAGGGACGCCCGACGCTCATCGGCTCATCGGGCGCACTGGGGCCGCTGTTGCTAGACCATCTGGTACTTGGTCTCGGGTAGCACGTAGTCGGCGAGCGACTCCTCGGCGAGGCCGGTGTTCAGGTGGTGATGCGACACGCTACCCGCGAGGCTCATGTGCTGGGCTGCGGCTGCCGCGGCCGCGGCCGCGTGATGGTGGTGGTGGTGGTGCGCGTGGTACTGGCCGTGGTAGCTCGCCTGGGGATGGACGTGCTGCATCGGGCTCTGGTAGTAGTCGCTCGTCGCGTAAGCCGCGTGATTCTGGTAGGCGTTGTACGCCTGGGCCGCAGCGGCCGCCGCCGCCGCCGCCGAGTAGTGCTGGCCGTTCATGCTCGTCGCGACGCTACTGGGACTGTTGGCGTGCGGCCAGAACATCGACGCCCCCGTCCCGGCCTCGCCGAGCTGATGATGCTGCTGCTGCTGCTGCTGCTGCTGCTGTTGCTGATGTTGTTGGTGTTGGTGCTGTTGCTGTTGCTGCTGCTGCTGTTGTTGTTGTTGTTGTTGTTGTTGTTGTTGTTGTTGTTGTTGTTGGTGCTGGTGATGTTGCTGGTGGTGGGCCGAGTGGTGCTGGTGGAGCATCTGGTTGGGAGCGTAGCCGGTCGATACCTGCGACGGGGTTGGCGAGGGTGTGTTCACGTTGCTGCCGACGCTGCTCGTGGCACCCGGTGTGGCGCCCAGCCTCGGGTAAACCGCCGCGTGGTGGTTGACGTTGATGGCGTGGCTACTCGCTATCGAGACGGCGCCCGCCGAGTTGGCTGCGCTCGCCACCCCGATGTGGCTCCCGTGCGGCGAGTGGGCACCGACAGCACCCGACTCCTCCTTGACTCGAGGTGGCGACTCTGCCGACGTTCTTCGGTTGTTGTTGTTACTACTACTATTGTTATTGTTATTGTTGTTGTTGTTGTTGTTGTTGTTGTTGTTGCTGCTGTTGTTGTTATTATTACTGTTGTTGTGGGTGTGGCTGGTGATAGTGGCTACTGAGGAGCCGTTCGACATGAGACTCGCCGAGTTCTGTTGCTGCTGATGCTGATGCTCGACAATCTTTGCCGCGGCTGCCGTCAGCTTTTTTTCGTTCTGGGCCTGTTGGTGTTGGTGCGTGCTGTTTTGCTGGCGCGACTTGGCCCGACGATTTTTAAACCACACCTGGAACATTGACAAAAACATGCCTAATGTTTAGCTCTACTTTTACACATAATGTATCATTTTTCGAGGGGTATATTTTTTATTAATTATTGTAATGTAAGTTTACCTGAACCCTGGACTCTGGCAAGTTGATTTTGACCGCGACCTCCTCGCGCATGAAGATGTCCGGGTACCTCGTCTTTCCGAACAGGCTCTCGAGTATGTCGAGCTGGGCCCGGGTGAAGGTCGTCCTTTCCCTGCGCTGCTTCCTCTGGTTCATGCCTATGGTTGAATAAAAAAAAAAAAAAAAAAAAACGAATTAAATCACTTTCTTTTCGAATTTCACGTAAGAACGAATTTTAAAAACATAGCTGGATGGGATATTCGTGTAAATTAATGATAACGCAGACAATTTCATGTACGAAAACCCGGACACCGCGCGCTAACGATGAGTTGATCGGGTCCACACGGTGCCCAGGATATCGTAATCGTGTCTTGCGCTTCGTCAGACGGAAGCTGGGGAAACCGATGTTGGTGCACCAAACCGAGGGCCAAACGAGGAAAACAATTACCCCAGATGGAGAACGACTATAGAAACGAGTCCCGTAATTATATATCAAACAGTTACGAGATATGGTATAAAAAATTATTAGTTCTTTTTGGAGTTTGGTTGCACCGGCAAGATGGCGGCGAAAACTTATCGAGGAAACACATGACACGCTCCGCGTGTTATTAGTGCACGTATTATTCCATTATAGCTAGCGCTCTAAACTTGAAAATGAAATAAAAGAAAATAAAAATGTACTAACAAATATATATATATAGATAAATGGAAAAACCAAGGGGCGAGTTGGGGGATGGAGAGCCGTCGATTGTGCTCGTGTATAGTACATAGTGATGCGTGTGCGGGACCGCGATAGCGTAATTTTCAGCGGAGCGAGGAGTATAGTTCCCTTCGGTCCCGCGAACTCGCTCTCTCTCCCCGTCTCTCTTTGGCAGTTGCCTCGTTTTCGGGACCCGCGTAATCCGCTTATGTATATATACGAACGGCAGCGGCGACGAGGGGGTTCCCGAGGGTTCCGCGGAGCGTAGTGTACGTACGTGCACCCGTGGTAGCTCGAAATGTATATACACATTTATAGAGAGAGAGAGAGAGAGAGGAGGCAGCGAACGCGTCCAGGCATCGGGAAAATATATAGAGAGAGTCGCTGCTTCAATCCCAGCTGCCTCTCGGTATACCATGGGTGCTCTCCGGTGGCTGCGTACATCGACGAACGCGCAGCGAGCGAAAACACGACTCGACTTTCTTCTTTTTTTTTTTTTTTTTTTTTTTTTTTTTCTTAACCAACGCCATAAATTAAGCGCTAAGAGCTCGCACCCGATATCGAAAACTATAGATCATAAAAACCCACCCCCTCCCCACTCCCCGTTTCCTGCATGCAGTATAAATATATATAGGTGCGCCGTGAAAATTTGTCATCGCGCTAATACTCGACTTTTCACCTAGCTCTCATCTCCCCGAGCGATCACCAGCCGAGGAAGCCTCCACCCCCTGCGGTCGCCGCACGCGCGTGCCCGTCACATCCTCCTAAATAAAGATAAATGGCCCCTCTCTGGCGCAAAACATGTAGTGCCGGTAAGAATGAAATGATAACAAAAAACGAAACAAAAGAAAAGGAAGCAGCGTGCCACATCGTAAAAATTCATTCGACGGCTTAGCTTCCCCAGCCCCCCCCCCCCCCATCCCTGGACGTTACACATATATATATATATAAAGGAAAGCGTGTAATGGGTGCTGCTGCTTCTTGTTATTTTCTCGGCGCGTCCGTACGTGGATTTGCACAGNTTTTTTTTTTTTTTTTTTTTGTACATTTTTGGATGATTGTTCCGTATGGTCAATGTAAAAGTGAGAAAAAAAAAAACATATAGGAGTAGGGCGATTTTTCGAGGGGGCCCACAATCAAATTAGTCCGATAAGGAAGGCGACGAAAATTTGAGGGTCTTTGGTGTTGTCCCCCGCCCGTATACAAAGCACACACACGTACTAAAATAAATGCCATCGATCCCCCCACGTACGACGTATATACCGTGCGCGACGACACCCCCGTCATATCTGTATGTATACTCGACGCCCAACACTTGGCTCGCTCGCAAGGGATGTAACTATGTATACGTGGCGATGCAGTTAAGGAGGTTTGGGAGAGAAGCAGCAGTGATTTCGAGCTCGTTGGCCCGAAACGAGAGATCAGAGAGAGAGTGAGAGGCAGTAGACCCCTTAATGGCCGAAATTCGTTTTCGCCCGTTTTTATTGGATTGGCTCCCCGCGTACGTACAAACGCCCGCGAGACACAGACGGAGGCATACACCGAGTCAATGGGATATCGAGGCACTAAACGAATTTATCGCGCCGCTCCTCCCCCGAGCGGCGGAAGTCGTATATATTATTATCTCGTGTACAGATCACTCGAGATGAAGGAGAGTCATGGGATGTATAATTGCAACGTAAGTATATATACGTGCAGGAGGCACGTGATGAAAAGCGTACAACAATAAGAGTTTGAGAAAGTATATTTATATGTACAGGTGTCCCCTTTGTTGTATAGCTTCGTTGGCGGTATGGGCATTTATTCACGTATATGGGTAATAGTATCACTCGCGTGGTCGTCTCCGGTCTTGAACGCGCGCGTATTAGCCCCAGTCGCGGTTGTTAATCCATCGCGAAGGCGTATACGTGTATTATATGGTCGTGTAACGGAACACCCCGGGCCTCACATATATTATACCCACACGCACACACAACAATGTAAATATATCCTCGAGAGGGAGGGAGAGAGGGTTGGGCCTGCCGTGTGCCCACCATACTCGGTGTATATACAATACAGGTAAAACGCATCCGGCCCCGCTAATCGGATGAGTTTCTGTTTTCACCGCCGGCCGGACACACCTTGCGGCCAATTCTCTCCTCCTCCTACTACTACTATACTTCGCTCACCTCTTGTGCATACATTAATATTGTTATATACATAAAAAAACCACCCATCGGCATGGTGTTTGGTCAGGGGGCGGGGGTTGGAGCGTTTCACGAGTTTCACCGACCGATGCTCTTTCGCAGCTCTATATTGCAAGGGAGCATGAGCCGAGAGAGAGAGAGAGGGGGGGGGGAGGGAGCAAGGGCCCCGAGGCTCGGAAATTCTATTAGCCCCGAGTGTGTTTACCCTGCAATTAGCGGCTACGAGGAGTCGGCACGCGCCGCACGTGCCCCCGGGTCACGCCACGGTGCTCCAATACCCGTCATCATCGTACTCCCCCATGCGCGTGTGTACATGTATATACATTTAACACCGTCTTTTCCCGCTCGTGTAGGTATATATGGGTACTTTTACAGGCGTGTGAATTCGTCGCGCCTCATTGCGATCGATTGGCCCCCCCATCCTGATGGAGTGCTTGTATCCCCGGCCCGGAGTTAAGTGCGTGCGTGCGGTGCAGGGATTGACGGGATAATGGGGAGAGCGAGAGAAAGTCAAGGGAAGAAGAAGAACAAGAGGGGGCGCGAGAGCACCCCCGCAGGCCGGCCTTCTCTCTCTCTCTCTCTCGGCCCTAATAAAATAAACATTGACACGCGCTCGCGTTTGGATAACAGTGGCGGCCAACGACGCTAACGGCGTGACGCTGACACCGAAACCATCTCCCTTTTCTTTTTACTTTTTTTTTTTTTTTTGTTTTTTTTTGTTTTTTTTTTTTTTCGCTCTCTGCTCCTACGAAGGAGAAAACATCGCCAATAACAAGTGCAGTAGAGCATATCACGTCGGAGGCTATATAATATATATGTACCTACGCGTGGATATGTGTGCTTCAGAGAGAGGGAGTTGGCAGGCGTACATATACAACGGGGGGTTGCCCAAGAGCGCACTCGCGTAGCCATGGAGACGCGCGGGTGCTCTTTCTCTCTCTGAGGGCAGTTGCTGCTCCCGCGGAGGCTGCCGGCAGCCTGATAAGCGGCTTACCCGCACTCCTCTCTACTTTCTCTCCCTCGCTCTCCATTCTTTCCCCGATGTACACGTACACACACACACACACACGTACAACGACACGGAAGCCCCGGCTGGCTGCTACCTCATACACACAAGCGCGCTCCTCGCTGCCCTGTTTGGCTTCCTCTAGTCGATGCCTTCGATCGCGGCTACTATATATACATATTATAATAAACATAACATCGGTTAGGTGATGTAACGTGATGGCTGTGTTGTTTTGTATAACAACATGTGGGTATTTCTCGCACTAGTGAGCGGGTCATATAACTCATATATATATATATATACATAATAGAGGTGTATAATAATAATGATAATAATGATATAAACAATAGACTGACCTTGGGGGAAGGCAGCGGCGAGTCCGTGGCCGTCGAGGGGGTGCGGGTGATGGGGCGCGTGGCTGGCGAAGAAGGGCGTGCCGAGGCCCGGGTGGTGGCCGGCGGCGGCCGCGTGGTGAGGATGGCCCATGCCGAGCGAGTGATGGGCGGCCGCCGCGGCGGCAGCAGCAGCGGCCGCGGCTGCCGCAGCCGTGGAGGACACGTGGCCCGGGTGGTGGTGGTGGTTCAGGTGGTGGTTGAGGTGGTGAGGCACTTGGTGGTGGTGGTGGTGGTGGTGCTGGTACTGGTGGCCTGTTGTGCCGGTGGCCGTGGTACCTGCCAGCGAGCGGCCCGGGACTCCGGTTGACGAGGACCCGTTGGTCGCCGACTCGACCGCCTTCAGGTAGCTCATAGCCATGTAACCGGCTATGCGGGCCTGGCCACCAACCACCGCCACGTTGCTGCTGTCGTTGTTGTTGCTGTCGTTGCTATTGCCCGTTGTTATCCTGCCGTAGCTCTCGTAATCGTTGCGATTGACCGAAACGGACGACCCGGCGCTGCTGCTGCTGCTGGTGGTACTCGTCGTGTTGGCGTTGGTGGCTCTGCCGGTGTTGCCCAGAGACAAGCCGCCGTCGTAGTCGAGGAGGGACGTGCCCCTCGGGGGTGTGTCGGCGCCAGGGGACGAGTAGGCCTCCGGGAAGGAGCTGCGCCCGTCGGATCCTTCCAGCGTGGTTGGCTTGGGCGACGAGCCGGACAGCCCGTCTATCGCTGCTACCTGGAATATACTGTTGGCAAAAACAACAACAACAACCGTTACCTCCAACCATTCGTTTATATACACATGTATTTATGTATGTATGTATTTACGTATGTACGTATACCCTTGCATTACAAGATCGCCCTGTTATTTATTTCTTTGTTTTTTCCGCCCAAGGCCCATATTTTCCTCTAACGATCCTCTTGTGTGCCGCCTGCGAATGCGTACACAAATATACATATAATATATACATATTATATACCTGATGGGGGTTATACGCCCACGTCTACAGTTCTCGTGTACCCGACTGTATAGAGGGAATCACCGCAAGTACCTGCACACCTTTCGCCCCGTGTCCCAAATATCCTTAGAGTACAAAACACGTATATAAATCAATGCACAATAACACCCCTGACGCTGCAATTAAATACAATGCGGCGCATTATACGTATATATTGTACGGCGAGCCTATTAACGTCTTGCTCGCCGCCACTGCACTTGTGTCCGCTCGGCTGCGCGCCTACGGTCTATATATATATACATACATGTATATTATCGTGTACCCGAACCACAAAAGCTTTTTGTTTTGATATAGACCCCTCGATACTCGCCCCCCCTCCCCCCCCCACACACATTTTTACCCCGTTGTCCGGTCCCCTTGAGTTGTAGTGTGCGGCCTCTTCAGAAAAATCAATTTACTTCATTTAACGCGGACGGGCGGGCCCTTTTAGTCTCGGAAATCGATATTTGTTCGAGGACACGACTATTAAGATCGGCACGGAAAGATTTACACGGTAGCATCGTTGCACCCGTATCCCGTGGAGTCAGTTTTGCCTGTCGCCGACACCGCGTCGTCGTGTCAAAATAAACCCGTCATGCTGTATTATATGTTTGCTCTGCGTAAAAGACACCAGAAAATAGTATTTATGTATAACAATACCGATCTGTGGGACTCTGGTGTGCGTCGCACACATTATTTCTGTACAATGTATATTTTTGCGGATCATCCGTTCTTCTCTATTTTTAATCTCGTAAAAAAAAAGAGTTGTTTTGTGTACGGTATTGTATTTGATTGCGTAATGGAATTTTCGAAAAAGTCGAGTGGCGGATGGAGCGAGGGGATTTTCACTTGTTGAACCTATTAGGTTGTAATATGTATCATCCGTTGTAAGCTACCGATTTATCGGTCAACCTCGACGGTAATATCCAACGAGGGCGACAAAATTATCCTCATAAACGCTGCACATTGTACGGTTTTTTTTTTTTTTTTTTTTATAAACAACCAAATTGATACTCGATTGAGATGTTTGATGATTTTGATTGATGATATGATTTTTTTGTAATTTGTTCGCAAAGTACGTGCTTTTTATAAATTCAGTAGTACGTCACCAAGAAGAATTCCAGACTATCCTGGAGTAGCAATGTAAATTTTTTTCTGTATCTTACCGAATAATCGTTTGATTTAAAAAACAATAAAGAAGTTAGAAATTGCAACACATTGAAATATATTAATCTTATGTGCCAAAAAAACATACAACAAATACAAGGATACTTTAATGCGGTTGAAAAAATGTTGTAATGCATTAATCTAAACGTCAACGGATAATTAATTTACTTTAAATACATGAACGTAAAATAATACCGTCTGCTGGTGATCAAGCTGTGGGGCACGATGGATTTTCCGAAGATCTTATGTGTGAAAACTTTTCTACTTGAAAAATTAAAATTCGCATCAAATAACTAATCAACGTTGTTACTCCCGTAAATGTTGGTATTTATGTTTTAACTTTTAACCAATTCAATCTTTACATTAGGAGTACAACAGCGATTTTGGTGCAGATGGTTTCAACGATTGGACCCACGCGATTCACCAGAGACCGTACGGTAAGAGCCTTTTTAATTGTCCCACCATTTATGAGTCAGAAACTTAAAAGTAATCCACGTTGTGCATCGGAGAAGCACGTACACCCGCATACGTGACCTATGGAATTGGGATTTTAATGATTCTGGGAAAGGATGTATATCTCTCTAAATTTGAAACAGTGAAAATTTCACTTTATGCAAAAAATTTTCTCTGGCGAAGTAGTGAATAATTAGGGATGCTTATTCGCACCGGTCGATATAAATTTGAATTTCTAACTATTAATCAGTAATCCAGTTCCGACCCATATACACATTATTCCAAGTGGTATCAACAACAAGTTAACCAACTAATTCGAATAGCGAAACGTTAACTTATTGGTAGATATAGTGAATATTTTTTAGTTTAAATAATTTATAAGCATACAACTTTGAACTTGTGAAATCGACTGTTTCACTGTTTAAATATTGACTGAAAAAGTTGTATACTTGTCACTATTGGACATGTAAAGAGTAAAAATAAGCGAGCAAGAACATACGGAGGGAAGAGCAACACCCGTAGTCCAGAGTGTATATTGTACATGAAACGAGAGTTTTCTCAACTTACTGTCAAGTTCCGCACTCCAAAGGCTCCTTGGACCGCGCCACTTTTCGACAGTCGTACTTTATTTTTGTTCTCTCTCTCTCTCTCTCTCTCTCTCTTACATTCGGCTAACTTTATCAGACAAACGGATAAATTTTCCCACCCTTGTAAATATACTGTAATACACCATAAAAAACATACAAAAACTATCCCAAGGAAATGCGATATTGTTCGACATGTAGAGACACAACTGGGCACTCGTAACGTCAACTGCGAAAAAATGTTAACTTTGATCCGATGGACGTACAGGTGGACGGACCAATGGTTACAGACAAGAGCCTGGCCGAGCTGCGATGGGCAAAGTATAAGCGAGTATACACATTGATCGGTTCGTACACAGTGTGTCCCCGGGCCCATCGGACCCTATTGTCCAATGGCCATCGGAAAAGCGCAAAAACGCCTCGTGGAGGGGATAGCTCGGTCGCTTCTCTCCTTCTCGGTCACGTTCTCCCCTCGCCTCTATATGGGTCCAAGGTATTCTCGGTAAAGCTCGCTGCGCGCCATTGTCTTAGCTAACCGCACCTCCCGGGGCACACTAATCACCCCTGTCGCGGCGATGAAATTTACGAGGGCCGCAACAACGCAAAGACGACTACTACGATCACGGTGTAAGTGCGGCGTGCACATATAGACGGTATTTTGGGGCGAGAGAGATGCGACCTCGTCAACTATGTGCGCATGTATATATATATGTATGCTGCACTGGCGCGATTCGAAAGGAGAAAAGTTTTCAAGTTGAAACCGTATACCTAGAAGCAAATTCCTCCGAGGAGCCATATACACTCCCCTATACGTGGTGTATACACCAACGTATAGGGTCCATTACCGTGTTGTTTTTAATCTTTTGGAGCTCCGGCTTTGCGCGTATTTGTGCGATCAAAAGACATGTAAGGGAAAGCTCCAAAAGGGACTTTGAAAAAAAAAACAATAAGAGGCGACCACTTGGAAGATGTACGAAAAAAAAAAAAAAAAAAAAAAAAAAGAATTTCGTTACACTTGGTATAATGTTGTACATATTTATACTTTCCGGAGTTTAATATTGTTATAATAATATAAAAGATGGATGTAGAGGGAGGCGTGTATATATATGTATATGTGATGAACTAAGGGGGACCTAGGCGCAGAAAGTCAGCGCAGCTTCCTTCCTCTGTATTATATATGGGTATACTCTTCTTTCCTTCCTTTTCCTCTCCAACGCGAACGCGCGTCGCGCCCCTACATACACCTCTTTTCTTCTCTCGAGGCTCCGCCCTTTATTTTGTGTACCTATAACATATTATAGACGCGCTGGAGGTGGGGCAGAGGGTACGGACGCGCAATTTCTCTCGAGTACCTAAACGTATACGATACTCTGGGAGCTCTGTTCCGTCTCCGATGGTTTCCCGGTGTGCCCTTGACTTCCCTCCGCGAGCGAATGTTCGAGTCCACCCCCTCGTCAGCTTCCCTTTAGCGGAGCTCTTACGCATGTATGTTCATACACGAGTGAGGGCACGACGAGACCGTGATTTCATACTCATGTACATCTTCTTCGTCTCACACTCGATATTATATACATATGCTCTTGATTTGATGTGGTTAAAATATCCCATACTTGGAGTTCTCGCTTTCCCGTATAACTATATGATGCAGTCTCGGCGCTAACGAATTTATACACGAGGAGAATTAGGAGCTTTATAAGCAAGTATAAAAATGTAGATGGTGTGCACGGTAGCCGACCGTAGATCATCATTAAGAGGCGAGAGAGCCAGCGCTCCGCCGTCGCTGCACTCGGGCTAATAATACTTATACGTGCGACCGCCTTCTATCTCTTGCACACGAGCACTTTTGCATATGTTGGTACCTATACATGCATATATATATGATGCACACGCGTATGGAAGATCGCGGGCCATATATTGACTTTCGAATGGCCGCGCGCCCAGCCTTTTCCCCAACAAAGAGCACCACCACTCTGGGCTTCTTCTTCCTCCTCCTCCACCTCGTTCCGCAGCTTCTGTGCCTTTTCGCTCCCTCAACTCGTTCCCCCCTTTCTCTCGGCAGCTCTCCACGTACATACATGTATACACGCACACCTCCTCCTCCTCTTCTTTTCTTCGATCTGTCCTTGCTGCTGCTGATTCTGCTCCGGTGAAAAAAAAAAAAAGCCCACTGTTCCCCT